GCTCAATCGCAGACTCTTTGTATCAGTCCTTTCTCCATAGAGTGAAGATGTCATACATGGCTCTGTCTGGAATGGACTGAATGTGTTTTTCTACCCTCCCCCTTTCCTCCCTCTTATGCCTCCGCCCTATTTTACCCACTGCTCTCTACTTTCACAGGAGGAGCTGGGATTTTTTTTTTCTTGCCTTTTTCACTCTAAGATTATTTTTAAACTCTGTTTGCTGCAAAGCAGCACATAAATGAGAAAAAAACATGCATTTTTAAAAATAGATCCCTAACAGTGACCTGTAATTTAATTTTTAAAATAAATGTTCAAAGGACAAACAAAGCACTTTTCCAGAAAAGTGGATAAAAAAAACTGTTATTTTTGTTAATTTACTAATCACCCAAAATGAAAACAAATAAAATACTTCTTTCTTTGTCTTATTTTTTTTCCATAGAAGGACAGGGGCAGATAGTTGTATTGTGTACAACCTGATCTTAAATGTATAAAAAAAAGAATAAAAAGGCCTGGGGTCAAAGGTGGCAAACAACCAGCACCAGTGCACACCAAGCATGGGTATCAAGGTTTATTAGGAAAAGGTATATCGACCAAAATGGTATTCCCATTTAGAAGTTTCTTTTGATTTCACTAAAGACATTTAATGCAAGTAATAGCAGCACTTGTTTTTTCTTCTAGTGCTTTATTCCTTTTTCCCTAAATTCCACTAAAGGCAAGAACGGATCCCCTGAAAGCTGCAGCATACTCTTGTTTAGCTGTGGGAAGTGTTGCTGTTGGTGTCCGCGAGCAGGTGAAATACTTTGAGTCTCTGCACTGGAACAAACTAATGCCATCCTAAATTTTCTACAAGCACAACCTCCATCAACCACACATGCTTCAGCGGTGCACTTCAGAGTGCTAACGCAAAGCAGTAAAACTGTCAACCAAAGCAAAATCAGATTTATCTTACACAAATGGAAAAGGAACTGGGATTTTTTTTAAACAAGAGTCAAGATACAGTAGTGAATAATTAGATGCAAGAATGTTCCAAAGAAAACATTCACAGCCCCCTTACAAATCTCACAAGAAGTTACAACAAATATTTCAGAAACATAGCAAGATTATAACATCTAAGGAACATTTAAAGAAAAAAGAAATTGAAATTAGCTGGACAAATAGGAAAGTTTTCTGTTTGCCTGATTTAAATGGATGCTTATTTCTCATCATTATTTCTTATTCATTCATCAATATGTTTAAAGTTGACCAAAATCTACCATGTTAAAAGAAAGCAAAGCTGCATACTGTAAAAATTATTTATAATTTACCTAATTAGATGTATTTTTTAAAAAATGGCTGTGTTAAAATAAAGTGAGTAACTATACCCAGCTCACAAGGAACAGTGTCTTTAAAATTTAAGTCATTAAACAAACATCTTTACATTCCTGTTCTGTTTTTGTTTAGTTAAAATTAGTGATTGTTAACCGCAGCCCATCTTCCAATATGGCGGCTCGACCGTGTGTAGATGTACCGTGATGTACGTCATGTCGGTGTGCCCGCTATGACATACGTATTTATCCTTTTAAAGTTCACTCATAAATAATAATCAAATGAGTTTAAAACGTATCCGCATGCAGTACGTTATTAGATGGATTTTAAAAGCTCAAAGCGCTTCATACTGAAGTTATTTTTTTTAGATTACATATCTTTATAGGAGAATATTTATATAGCCTTTTTATGTTTATACTTTCCATATATATGTTAATGTTTGGTAAAGATTTTGTTATTGTCTTTTTAACGGGATCAGATTTTGCCACGATAGCAGGGATTGACTAATCAGAGGTCGACTTTTTCAGACGTCATCATCACGTGTGTTGCAAAAACCGGAAGTGGCGCCAGTTTGGTTTGTGTACTATCGCAGCCTTAAAACATTATCCATATTCAAGCATCAAATATTTGCCACACGGTGACGACCTTTACGTTATCAGGGGATAATTTTTGAAAATACACTGACCGCTTTTTGTATGTTATAATTGAAACTTGGAAGAAATAGTGTTGGCTATCAAGCTAGGCTAACAAGTGACTACCATTTCATTCGTTTCGGTTTTTTCAGCCACCGTTGTGGTATCTAGTTTGTATCCAAACTATCTTTGTTTTTACACGCTTTCTCTTTCGTGACTTTTCGGGGTTTTCTTCGCCAGACATCACCATGTCCAAGCAGTCGATGGGAAAAACTTTGTTAAGGAACGTGATTCGCCACACAGATGCCCACAACAAGGTATGTCTGCCGTTCTACATTAAGCATTAGTTTGTGGGGGAAAATGAATAGCGGTGAAATTAGCTGAATGAAACATGGTTTAGCAGAGGGCTATATTTGAGAGTATTTATTTGAAATAACAAACGTTTGTGTTGAACTATTTACTCACCCTATTTACTATTCACCCAAAACATTCTATTTCTTTTTAAATAGTACTTAATGGTTAAGTGCCATTCAAATTTCCAAAGTGAATTACATTAGGTATTCTTTAAAATTGTCTATTACTCAGAGAACTCTGAGGATAAAATGTAATCAAATAACTTAACTTATTAACATAATTAAAAATATGAATCTTGGAATTAATGATCTGTTCCTTTTGACTTCCCTGAAGATCATTAAACCTCCATCTACTATAGTCTTGTACATAATTATATATATATATATATTATAGGGATATATTGTAAAGTCTGTGTTCCCATTGACACCTTCAGTTGTAAATTTATCTCAGGCAGAGCGGCTGAGGAGTCGTCTGCAGGATTTGGAGAAGCTCCTGGCTCAGTTTGATTGCCTAATGATGTGTTCAGTTTAGTTAAGTCTGCCGGGCTCCAATTCAAAGTTATTTATATGAAAAAAAGTTGTTTTTTCAGTAATTGCAAATAGTCTGTGAACATTATATCATCAACCAAAGGGTGTCAGTAATCTGTAGGGGTAACTATGGGACAGTGGTGGTTTTTTTGCCTGCCATCCAGTGTGTTTCTGTTCAGTTCAGTCTAAGCCCAACTCTTGCCCTATTGAAGGGGATGTGGACTGTAAAAGTCACTTTGTGGACCACTGCTGTTATTTGTTAATATAAGGGACTGAGAATACTGCATTAACATGCAATGATTGTGGTTATAAAGATGATTCATTTACTTTTCTTATCTTTGGTGTCCTTTTTTTTTGCAAAGCATTTTAACATGCCTTTGTATATATTTAAGTATGAATGAATTTATCTGCTGTTCCTATATACTGTATATGTGTATGAATATTTACACTAGGAACCTTTTGTGTCTCTGCTGTCTGCCATGTTTCTTGTAGAAGTGTCAACTTCAGGCACCCCCTTACAGCATTCAGACCAATACATTTATACTGTATGCAGTTGTTTGTATGGAAAAAATCTAATTGATTAATTGTTCATATGTAAACAATTTTCAATATGATATACCTTTCAATATGAGAGAAATGTTGCCTAATGCTTGAAAAAAAAAAATCTATTTCCACATTTCCTGTGCTGTCGCTAAAGGACGGCATAGTAAATTTAATTCACTACTGCGAGCTAAACCTGATGCAGTCTAATCAATTGGTGCCTCTGTGAGATGTTTTTTTATGGTTGGGATATATGCTGTGTTTAGTTACACAAGGTAAAGTACACTAAAGTACTAAATAAGCAACAGCATCAAGGCAACTACAGAAAATTAGGTTTACACAATCTTAGGGCCTAAAAACATCTTTTAATGGTTGGTTTCCAGGATCTGTATTTTGTGTCCAATGCTGTGAGAAGCTAACAGCCTTGAGCAAAAAGCAGTTTGACTAATGTCATGGTTTCCACTAGTCACAAAAATCGAACACTGTACACCTCACTTGAAATATACCTGTTCATACCTTCTGTATCATTTTCCTGAGGTGATTTGTCATAAAGCAGTGTGGGCATTGGACTAACTTTCATTAACTTTCTTTAGATCCAGGAGGAGATGGATATGTGGAAAATGCGCGATTGGGAGATCCAAACGTCCCACCACAACCATTTATCAGAGTGTGTGAGGTAAAACAGCAAACCATGCAGTTTAATCTAAATCAACTTGACGACAAACAACACAAAAGCCTATATTAAAGTCCCTGCTTCACCGAGTCATTACTTCATGTTGACTTGCAGATGTATTAATAGTGCTTGTATTCCAGGGGGCAAATGCACTGTGATCGCACTGTAATGCCACAGCAAACCCGGCACATGCGCGAAGTCTCTGAACATGATGACAGAGAGGCTCGAATCTGCACCCGCAGACTGTATGAATTTGAGGCCAACGATCCTGACAGGTCTAATACATGGCTCATACCTTTTTGCATTATTAGAAATGTCCAGCAGTTTATTTCACACAATGAAAGTTTGATATATTGACATTTATTTTTGTGTTTACACCTCAGATGGGGCCACAGTGGCTTTAAGGAACTGTATCCTGAGGAGTTTGAAAGTGACAGGTAAGCAGAAAAGCAGTCCTGCACTGAAAAAACAGACCTTAGAAGTGAAGTGTATCTGCTTTCATAAAAGTTGCTGTCACTTGAGAGCAATATTAAAAAAAACTGCTATTGTTATGAAGAGCTCCTTGATGGGTTTCCAACAATGTAGTCCAGTCCTCAGTGTTCAAGTAGGATTGCAGGGTCCATATACAGGGCTTCTTTGGTTTACGACTTCCTCACGTTTTGTAGTTACTTCGTCATCTCCCATGAATTTATTAAGAATGTCTTGTTCCATCATTCCGTCGTACGATGTTATAGCGGAATGGAAGAATAGATTGTCGTTAGAGGTGCAACAGTGGCAAGTTGTGGATTCCAAATTTTTCGGTACGTACTGTATGACATGATTGATGACTGATTAATAAAACATTTACAATTTAATAAATCAAAGTTATGGAATAAAGTTTTGTGGGTGAATACAAGTCAAGTTGTCAGTTTTAAGTCCTGGACTGCAGAAAAAGCAGCGATCGAGGCTAAGTCTAAATCATTCAGGAAATGTTTAAGTTAGAGAAACAATTCTGTGTCCACTTCAGACAAATGTGTCTCAACCCTGACACACAGAATATTCAATTATAAATGTGTAAGTCAAAGATTTGAGTCATTAACTCTTGAGTCAAAATCCTTAGTGGTGTGTTGAACCCCTCTTTTACCAATATTTCTGTATAGTGACTGCAAATGATCACATAATTGTTTTTCCTTTTCAATTTTCTTAAGTGAAAAAAGCACATCCACGAAGAACCACAAAAGAAAAAAGTCAAAATCGGCTAAAGAAGCAAACTCGTCAAGACATTCAAAGAAAGCCTCACAGAAGAAGAAAAAGAAAAAGAAGAAAAAAGATGACGATGTAAAGCGGAAAAAAGAAAAGTCTTCAAGCAGCGAAGACAGCATCGATGATAGCTGTGCGGCTAAAGACAAGCAAAGAAGAAAAAGTACTAAAAGTCGACGCAAGACCAAAAAAAGGACAAAAGCAAAAGGTGGCGATGATGACAACAGCAGCTCAGGAGACGGGGACAGGAAGAGACAAGCTCGCATGAAACGAAAATTGGACAGCATTGACAGAGACTCAGGGCTAAAACTGAAAAAGAAGAAGAGGAAAAACTGGAAATTGGCAGGTGAAGAGAGCTCAGGTGATAGTTCTGCCAACTGATGTGCTCCAGTGGAGTACCAGCTCTGGCATTGACTGGAAAAGAAACCACCGCTGTTTCCTTTTGTTCTGCGTAAGTGCACAGTCTGCTGGAGCTCTTTCAGGATTGGACTTAAGCAGAACTAAGCTGTCGTCCTTCTCTGTGGGTATTGGATGAAGCAACGTCTCCTTAACCCTGCAACTTGAAGACATAACAACCGTACGTGCTGCATAAAAAGACAGACCGTAGTGTTGACCACCTGCTCCATGACATATTCTTCTGACTGGAGGCTCACCGAGTGAGCAGTGAGTCATTTTGTCTGACTCTCGCTCTCACATGGAACAGTTTGTCTTAATATCGCTGCTGTTTTTCATTTATGATGTGGCAGAGTATTTGGCTTTGTTTTTATTTGGTAAGTTAACCTTTGTATTTCCCACACTGTTCTGTTTTTAAAAACAAACAAACAAACAAGCACATGTTTACAATTTTTTAAAAACATAATTTATTTCACTGACTCATAGGTTTAGCCTTGACTCTAAATAATAGTTTTACTTTAGCGTTTTTTGTATTTTTTCACAGTCAAATGTCAGGAGTGTGGAAACTCACTCAGTGTTCATGGGCAGACAGGAACCCACATATCCAAAAGTAGTATGTTGCCTTTAAGAACAACTGTTAAAGCATTGTTATTATTTTTTAAATGTTTTTTTTTTTAAATATTTCAATATTTGAGATGTGTGTCAACATAACAGAATTGAACTCCAATATTATGGTGTGACACTTGAAGTGACAGGTTGTGAGTGAAATGAAAATACATTTATAGATAAAGATAAACTGTGGTCCACCCTAACTTCATTGATTTGTTAAATCTTATGAAGACACTACACTGCCATATTATTGTAAAGGTATATATATATATATAGTATATAGGGTTGTAAAACCTTTACTAGCTCCACAAAATCCTGGGAAACATTTCCCATGTTCATCCCGATCAAACAGAGAGGGTTCTTGATTTCGGGTCTTCATTCTGGTCATGCATTGTCTAGTGTGAATCTCCTGCAGCGTTGACACTGCTGACCTGCTTATGTGTTTAGAACATCAGGTGTCTCTGTAATCAGCTGTTCTATAGGAGTTCAAGGTCTGCTGCAGCGATTCAGACCTGTTAAATTGCCCCAGCCATACGAGCGGTACAGGTGCTGCCATGCATTCTTTACCAGCGTTGTGTTGTCTTTTATTTATAAACCTCTGGGGAGGACAACACTGGTCTTCAAGACTAGTCTGTGAGGAACTGAGTGAGGAGCTGTAATCAACGGCAGGCAGACCCTGGTGTTCCCAGGTGTTTGAGGGTAGACAGGAAAAGAGGCTGATGTAATGATCAGTATTCCTACCAGGGGATAGGTGACCCAAATGGAGTTGAACAAGCTGGGTAATGAAAGAACTGCTAATGCTCTTGATTAGCCTCCCGTGGTAGTCACTTAAACAAGCTGTGGTTGTCTTTTTGTTGACAGGGATGATGGCAGTAGGTAGGGACAATTAAGTCAGCTGTTCATTGTATGATTTCAGTGCATGACCGGAGATTGAATGATTATGTCACATGATGGAAAAGTCCCTCACAATTTCTGTAAGCCACATGAGGGCACTGTCCAAGTGCTAGGAGGTAGCCCAGGTGAAAAGGTAACGGATTGATTTAGCCAGAGGGAGCATAAACAACAGAAAAATGATATAAATTTGTCTGAAACCTGTTGATTGTCATGAAACACACCTTTCTTCTCTCAGTTTTGCCAAATTTCTCAGTCCTGTCCATGATTAATACTAAGAAAGTTTTGCTGGAAGAATGCAGTGTTCTCAGAGGGTCAGTCCCAGATGTCCTGTTGTTGGTGCACTCTGGAACTGAGCTCTCAGGGACTGGAGCTGTGGATTCTGGCCCTTTTATCTCTGTGTTTTCCTTGCTGCTTTTCCATAGAGTTTTCTGTCTGTCGTTTGTGTCTGTGTCCCAAAACACTCCTTCAACCATGTAGAGCAGGCATGTGTGACACCAGAAAATGTATGAAATGGGCAAAGCTCCATTAATTCCTAATCCATTTATGCTAATCTTCTCTGTATGAACCATCGCAGTGGAGGTGGAGGTGGAGATTGCTCATTCTACACTTTGGTGAGTATAACATTTTTTAAACTACATCTATGCTTTTTTATTGAACACGTATTAAATGATAAGCATGCTTTCACTCCACTTCATATGCAGTTTTACACTCACTTTTGTACAATAGAAAAAGCTGTCACTGTTTCACTGTTTTATTTGCACTTAATTGTTTAAAAGACTCTTTGCTGTCAATCTGATTAATTACATTGGTGTGATTGTGGGTTTAACTGGGGAAGGGAGAGAGTCTGTGTCACGGTCACATCACCCTTACAGCACTCGCAAAGTCGTCATCTAATTTTCTAATTCCTCTCTCTGTCCGCCCCAATCTTCTTCCTGACTGACAAATATTGTGCTTGTCATTAACGTATTGTCTCTAATCTCAGTTCTGTCTCAGGCTAATTGTGCTGCAATTTGGTTTTGGATCTGTGACAACAAGGCCAGACCGACAATGGGTGAAATGAATCCTCTGACAAAATAACTTCCATCATGTTGTCAGCTGTTCACGAACAATCGCCAATGGAAGGAAGTGTTGTTAAGGTAGGTCAAGATTAATAAGCCTTGGTAAAAAGAACAACAAAAAACACAATTAAAAGTTTTATTTGTAAAAAAATAATTTAGGGGCAGAAATGATTTGGCTCCAATGTGTTAATAAGTGCTTAGAGCAACACGCTAAACAACTCCATTTTAAAACCAATTTCATGAACAGAAAATTGATCCTTAAAATGAATTTGCTGCTTTTGTGCTACTACACAAATGGAAAAATAACATTGTCACTGTCAAAAAGGATGCGTAAATAAATATAACTGTAATATGAGAAAAGAAAGACATTGGGAAAGAAGAAAATTAGATTTAAAATGAAATTAGAAATAATTATCTGAAGCTGAAGCTTTTCAAATGAAGCATACATTGTCTTTTTGTCTCCTTTGTATATGTGTGGTAGTGTGGGTCAAGGTGCCTGGGTGTAAACACTGCTTTTGTGTTAATACTAAGATGCTGATTTTAACCTGTTTGTATCTTGAATCACGCTAACCCTATGGTAAGAATTACCTGGCCATTTGTGATAGCAATTGGGATTTGTTAACTAATTACCTGGCCATTTGTGATAGCAATTAGGATTTGTTAACTTAAGATATTTAACATTAGAAAGAAGCGAAAGGTTCTCTTTTCTAGTGACATTGTTTACCTGTATTTTGACAGAATAGCGTATACCCGTTTAACTTCAGGTGTATTTATTAAAGTTACTCTTTGTGTATTCTAATTACCATTGAATTTGTTGGTTTTTTTGTACTCATACAGTACATTCTCTGCTGCTGTGACACTTGGTACCATTTTTTACTAACCAAATTATGTACTAAGAGAACCCTGATAGTCTAGAGATTTGTAATTATCAATTGCAATTAATTACATTTTAATCAGATAGCAATAATTAACACAATTAG